AAAAAAAAAAAAAAATTAAGATCTTTTGTGAAAATAGAAGGGGAGTGGGGAGAGGGACAAGAGAGGATAGTGGAGGGTGAGATGATCAAAGTGATCAAGGTATGTTATACATCTGTTTGAAAATATCACAGAGAAACACAGTGCTTTGTGCAGTTAATATGCACTAATAACAAAGAGGAAAAACAGCCTTTGTTTCACTTATAGACAGTGTCTATGCATTTAAAATTAGAAGTAATTATGCATATATTCTGTATTCTAATATAATCTATAAATAGCAATTATTAAAACACTTTTTTTTTCTTCAATGGCATTCTCTAAGTAGCTACCACTTAACATTCATTCCTGATATTTACCCATTAAAATGCAATGGAAAATCTGACAAAAAGAGGCACATGGCCTGTGTGACTCTTTATACACATAATAATTGATTACTGTTCTGACAACACCCCACCTTTTTACATAGTTGTAGAAAGAGTTCATTTTAAATTAATTGACTGCACTATGAAATAAATTGCTTTACTATGTGGCTGGAAAGTAAAGAAGGCCAATATCAGCCATAATTGTATTCAAATTGCTATATAGGGCTTGTGTGGGTGAAGGCTAGAGACAGATTTTTTTTTTTTGCATGGGAGGCAAATCTGAGATTAGTGATGCTAATACCGAACATTCTGTGTAGTTCTCAAAGAGAATTTTTTTTTCTGTTGGCTCCCTGAACCCTCCACCACACACACACAAAGGCTAGATTTTTCTGTAGTGATCCAAACTGAATGCTTATGTTACAGTTACATTACTGTATATTTTTCATGACTTGGAGTATCATCCAATATGTATTTAACAATATTCTATGTTTTTTCTTTTCCTATTGTTAAGTTGAGAGAAACAGAATTAACACTTCTGATGTGTGCTGAGGAAGTCAGAGAGGCTCACAACTGAAGGTCTTTGATTGGGAATGCATCGAGTTTACCAATACAGAATAAAGGGCAAGTTTATTCTAAATTTCAAGTCTAATATAACAGAAATGATCTATCTCTTCCTAAATTTTTATGGAAATGAAAAAAAATCTCAACTATCCTCAATGTTGTGGCTCTGAATGTCACTATTGTTTAAAAAGCCCGAACGATGCTAATATTCATTAAAGGAGTACTGGAAACAAAACAGAACAGACATTCATTTACTTTTATTAAGCAGCATACACCCTTATCAAGAGCACATTGGAACACAAAATTGCTAGGCCACACATGTTAAGAACTACTACAGAGAAAATGAAGCAATGAAAGTGATGGAAAGGCTTCTCTCTATAGTAGGCAGAAAACAGAAGTTTGGGAAAGTAATGTTGGAGATTACATCATATTTGTAATGCCAAAAGGTTTTAGAATTTGATAGTATCAAAAATTGTCCTCTGATTTTATCTTGAAATTGGAATAGATAATTCCTACTTAGGCATAAGAAACTACATTTGTGTAAGTGGAAAATCCCACATTAATCAAAGTACTAATATTTGATATGTAAATAATCTATAGTTAAATTTATGATTATTGTAACACATAAAATTACTAGAGTCTAAGGTTCTTTTAGAAAATAGATCATCTTACTTTCTTCAGTGTAATCTACTGATGGGAAATCTTTCCTGCTAACACATACTCTGTAAGAAGTGTTGGGAAATAGAAAAAGCAAATACATGGGTGAGATGGCTCATGACTATGATTCCAGTAGTCAGAGGTCAGAGCATGAAGAGTGTGAGTTTGAGGCCAGCCTCATGGACAGAAACCTTATCTCAAAAAATAAAAGAACAAACATAAAAGCTAAAACAATACAAAGAAC